GATGAAAGTTTTTTCACAAGTGCTACATCTAAGTCGAGCATGAGAATTTTTCTCTTTCTCGTGACTAGTTGAGTGCATTTTTAGCATGTGGTTTTTTCACAAATGCTACATCTAAATCGAGCATGAGAATTTTTCTCTTTCTTGTTGTGACTAGCATGTGGCGCTTTAAAGAATGTTTATGCATTGCCTTACCACAGGTATCACAAGCTACCTTCATCAGTCCTTGATTGAGGGCTTCATGAGTCCGAAGGCTCAATTTATTGTTGAAAGTTTTTTCACAAGTGCTACATCTCAGTCTAGCATCAGAATTTTTCTCTTTCACGTGATTCTCTTCTGAATGACTGCCACTGGTCTCATGTTTATGTTTGCTCCATTTGTGACTTTTATATCGCAACCTTTCACAAAAGCCCTTTCCGCAATATTCGCAAACAAAAGGTATGTCTGAAATTCGCGATTTTGTTTCCAAACTCAAATCATCATAGATTCTGTGCCTTACCATATGATGTCGAAAATAAGACTCGACGAAAATTTTTCCACAAATCTCACACAGAATCGTAGTAGAGGAATCATGGGTATTCATGTGCAGAATTCTGGCAATCCTACTGCAAAATCTCCTCCCACAAATCTCACAGAGAAATGGCTTTTCTCCAGTATGTAATCTTTTATGATCTCTGAGCCTCCCTTTGGATTTCAATATCTTTTCACACACATCACAAGAAAACCTCCCAGGTTCATGTCTCTGCATATGCAGTTTAAGAAGATATCTCTTTTGAATGTTTTTGGACACTTATCACATGCAAATGCTTTTGTTCTTGCCTTTGAAAAATGTGTATCTCTGTGTTCGCAAAGCGAAGAGGTGAAAACAAAGGCCTTTTCACACAAATCACATTTATATGATTTTACGGTGCTGTGCAACAGTTTTAGGTGCCTTTCATAGGTAGATTTCTGCTTGAAGGATTTCTGACAACTATCACAAACATAGGACTCTTTTACCTTCTTCCTGACTTGTTTTGGACCTGAACCCTGGAAATTTAGGTGCACTGGATTTGTAAGCTTTCATCATAAATACTTTTATAGTTTGACAACTTCTACCCAATGCTAAGGTCTCACTTTAGCCAAATAAAGTCCTAACATAACAACCTAAATCCAAATGGGGATGCTTCAATGTAAACCTAATACAGGTACCACACAGAAAATGTATTTCTAGCTTCTATTTTTTGTTATATTTATAATGATTGTTTATTTAATACCTATTATCAAATGAAAATTTCATTTCAATATACAAGATATACATGATAAACAGCCCTAATAGATTTGCATTGAAAGTCTGAACCATGTGAAATATGACTTCACCATATGTGCTAGATAATTAAAGCTAAATGTAAGTACATATACCATATATACAATAGCTACCTGTAAATTAAATTAAGGTGATATTCAAGTGTTGTTAAGTGCTTTTTGGGCTGTGTCTACATATTATATTTATATATTGAAACAATTTGATATGAAACATGTTAAACAAGAGGCCCATTGGCCACATCGCTCACCTGAGAAGCGTTGACCATTCTGTTCCTTACCAGATTTCCCCCTTGTTATACATAATGCATCATAACCCTACCCCACTGATCATAATTGAGACATTTTGAAATCTACACTACCCCATGATCCTTCCAAGGGCACATATGTTTCAGCTTTTTTGGCCCAGTGGTTCCTGAGAAGAAGATAAAAAAAAAAAATTCCTATATATTTCTATGTGAAACTTTGATTCCCTATAATGGCCCCGCCCTTCCCCTGGGGGTCATAATTCCTACAATTTAGAATTTACACTACCCCAAAATGCTTCCACATATTAAAGCTTCACCTTTTCTGGCCCAGTGGTTCTTGAGAAGAAGATTTTCAAAGATTTTTCTTAAATATTTCAATATAAAACTTTGATTCCCCATTGTGACCCCGCCCTTCCCCCAGGGGTCATGATTTGAACAATTTAGAATCTACACTACCCCGAGATGCTTCCACATAAGATTCAACTTTACTGGCCCAGTGGTTCTTGAGAAGATTTTTTAATGACCCAACCCTATTTTTGCCTTTTCTTGATTATCTCCCCTTGCGAGGGGATATGTTTCTTAATTTTAACAATTTAAATTCCCCTTTATCCAAAGATGCTTTGTACCAAGTTTGGTCAAAATTGGCCCAGTGGTTCTTGAGAAGAAGTCGAAAATGTGAAAAGTTTACAGACAGACGGACGACGGACAAAATGTGATCAGAAAAGCTCACTTGAGCCTTCAGCTCAGGTGAGCTAAAAACACATTATAATATTGAAAAATTAGCTTTCAATTATAATTATGTATTGGAAAGGCAGATATCCTTATAATTTGTTTGAAAAAAAATAAAAAATTTCATTTCAAAGTTTAAACTAGTGCTAATTGTAACGGGGACCGTTACAGATGTTCCCCAAACGCTCCCCAAGTCCCTTTTGGTGCCATATTCCCTGTAAGCTTCATTGAATAACACAAACTCTATGCATTTGAGACTTTAACAACGTTTACCCAGAAATGTATCATGTTCATTCAAATTTTAGCATTGCATGTGTGCGCATGTGAATCATGTACGTAATGACATATCATCTTGTCTACACAATCTATATATTTTAATATACTAAATATTAAAGTATTTAATCCAAAAGTATTAAAAAATTCGCTCATTCAAGTGTATTTTTGATTTTGCTCATTTCACGTACACGCACGTGCATACATGAGCATGGTGACCATACCTTCTTGTAGAAGTCCATTACATCTATCTATGTTCCAAATCCCATCCCGTTTGGTTGAAAACCAAGGGAGTTATAGCTGTTTAAAGTTTCAGCCAATCAGATTGCAGCGCATGTGTATGCATGTGCATGGTGACCATACCCTCTTGTAGTAGTCCTTACATCTATCTATGTTCCAAATCCCATCCTGTTTGGTTGAAAACCAAGGAAGTTATAACTGTTTAAAGTTTCAGCCAATCAGATTGCAGCTCACGTACACGCACGTGTATGCATGTGCATGGTGACCATATCATATTGTAGAAGTCCATTTTATATATCTATGTTCCATATCCCATCCTGTTTGGTTGAAAACCAAGGGAGTTATAGCTATTTAAAATTTCAGCCAATCAGATTGCAGCGCACGTGCATGCACGTGTGTTCATGATTATTTCTATATAATATGTTGTAGGATACCTTAATGCATGGCTATGTTCAAAATTTCAAAGTATTTCGTTAAAAAACAAGAAAGATATTGAGACTTTAGTTTCAGCCAATCAGAGCAAAGCGCACGTGCATGCGCGTGAGATCTTGCTATTTTGACCATGTCATCTTGTCTATATTACTAATATATCCTTACATTATGAGTTTCAAAGCATTTCATCAGAAATTGAAAAAGTTACGCCTATATCAATTAAATCGGTCATTTCACGTGTTGCATGTGCGCGCTCTTGCAAGCACGTGCACGCAAAATGACCTTTGTTCGGCAAATCTACATTACATGTCTACTGACCCTAAAAACATTTTACCTTAGTCGGATGTATAGTTTACAAGATCACTCAAGGACAAAATTTTCCCAGGAATAATAATAATAACTAGTGCTAATTGTAACGGGAACCGTTACAGATGTTCCCCAAACGCTCCCCAATTCCCTTTTGGTGCCATATTCCCTGTAAGCCTTATTAAATAGGACAATATCTGTGCATTTTGACTTTAACAACGTTTTCCCAAAAGGATACCAATTATATTCAAATTCTAACATTGCACACGTGCCCATGTGAATGCACGTGCGTAGTGATCATATAATCTTGTCTACACTTTCTATATATTAAGATTTACGTTATATATTAAAGCATTTAGTCCAAAAGTATTAAATATCACTCCTTCAAGTGTATTTTTACTTTCACTCATTCTAAATGCACGCACGTGCGTGCACGTGCATGATTACCATACCTTCTTGTAGGAGGCCCTTATATCTATCTATGTTCTAATTCCAATCCTGTTTGGTTGAAAACCAAGGGAATCATAGCCATTTCAAGTTTCAGCCAATCAGATGGCAGCACACGTGCATCCACGTGATTTCAATTTTTTTTTTCTAAATCATATTGTAGAATATCCTATTGCATGACTATGTTTTAGATTTCAAAGCATTTCGTCAAAAAACAAAGGAGATATAGCCATTTAAAGTTTCAACCAATCAGATTGCAGCACATGTGCATGCGCGTGATTTCTTGAATTTTTTGTATATCATATTGCAGGATATCCTAATGCATGACTATGTTTTAAATTTCAAAGTATTTTGTCAAAAAACAAAGGAGATATAGCCATTTAAAGTTTCAGCCAATCAGATTGCAGCGCACGTGCATGCGCGTGATTTCATGAATTTTTTTTTCTATATTATGTTGTAGGATACTCTAATTCATGACCATGTTTAAGATTTCAAAGCATTTCGTTGAAAAACAAAAGAGATATTGAGATTTTTGTTTCAGCCAATCAGATTGCAGCGCACGTTCATGCGCGTGAGTTCTTGCTAATTTGACAGTGTCATATTATTAACACTATTAATATATCCTTATGTAATGAGTTTCAAAGCATTTCATCAAAAAATGTAAAAGTTATAGCTATATTACGTATATCAGTCAATTCACTCATTTCACGCGCACGCACGTGCAGGCGTATGCGCGCAAAATGACCTTCGTTCCGCACACCTACACTACACACCTATTAACCCTAAAAAGGTTTTAGCTCAGTTGGGTGAACAGTTTCTGAGAACACTCGCGGACAAAAAAGTACCGGAGAACAAATAAGAAAAAAAATAATAATAATAATAAGAAACAGAGTAAAAACAATATGTTCCCAAACTCCGTTTGGGGAACATAATAATAATAATAATAATAATAAGAAACAGAGTAAAAACAATATGTTCCCCAACTTCGTTTGGGGAACATAATTAGTTATTGTGTAAACTGTTGTTCAATTACAAGTACATGCACATAAAGGAATAAACATGATGAAAGTTATTTTAACCTTTGTTATATGATAAAACATAACTTGGAGGAGTTAACTCTTTTTTAAAAGCATCGGTTGACAATGGTTTTTCTTGGGGTGCCAATTTCAACTGTTACCCTCCAAAACAGGCACCATTTATATAATGTACAAAGATATAAAACACGTACCGTAACATGACTACATTCAACCTGTGGTTCTCCTCTTGGTCCAGAAGACTGAACCTCATCGATAATCATGGGATTTTCTTCCACTTTTACTTCAGTTTTTATTTCTGTTGGTGGATCCAAGTTTGGGACTGTTGGTGGATCCAAGTTTGGGACAGGTGGTGGATCCCCTTTCTGAACAGGTTGAAGGATGACCGAAAATCTCTGCTCTGTAACCTCTACATCTGCTGGTAAATTTGTTTTTGAAGTGTTCCCAGACAATGTTTTGTTCTGAGTCTCTGTGCATTGTGAGGGTGTACTGCTGGCTGTTGTTATGTTTTTCTTGACACAATTTGTAATGATATCCTGACTGTTGGGTACCACTGAGGCTCCAGTGGCATTTAAAGCTTGCTTAGGAAGTAAACTATTCTGAATATTTTTTAGCTGATTTAGACTAACTGCACTTAAAACAGTTACACCATTGTTCAGAACTTGGGAATTGTTAACGGTTGTTTTGTTCATAGCACTTGGTTTAGAGATAGTAACCACTTTGTTTTGGTGAACAGGCATTTTACTTGGTACCTTGTCATTAATGTTGACAAGAACTGGATTGGACAGTGTGGTAGCTTTGGTTTGAGCTTCTCTCCTAGAATTTTCAGCATTCTTTGCATTGGTTGTTGATGAATGCACCATATTTTTAGGAACCTGTACCAGACATAAATTTTTCACAGGATAAATCACAAAAGGAAATTTAAGCTGTGAAAGGTTGTTCATGTTCACACTAGGCTGAAGTGACTGATTAATTCCAAGGTTGTTGGTGTTAAAAGTAGGCAGAGAGGCATGTTGTGTCTCAATGCTATCTGTATTCACACTAACCTGGGATGTCTGCTGGTGAGCTCTAAGACTCTCTGTGCTCACACTAGGCTTGGTTGAATTATGTGTCTGAGGACTGCTTATGTTCACAACTGGCTGGGATGACTGACGCACTCCAAGGCAGTTGATGTTAAAAGGGGCCTGTTGGATTTTTGTGCCGTTCATGTTCACACAAGTCTGAGTGATTTTATTGGTTAAAAGGCTTTTAAATCTTCTACTTGGTGTATTAGCTGTAAGCTGGGTAGAATGAAGCCCTGGGCTGTTTGTGTTCTCTATAGGATCACTTATTGTTGCAGGTGAACTTGGAATGTTTTTCAAGCCTTTCTCTAAATCATTTAGGGAAGCACAATGCTCACTTGCTTGCAATTGACTTTGATTCATGAGTGAAGTTTGGTTATCCAAAATTGTAGTCTCGTCAGAACTGTACTTTTCACCTGAAGCAGAAGCTGAACTAGGTTGAATTCTGGGAACATTTTTAAGGTGAAAATCATTCAGTGGATTGAGAAATTTCATTCTGCTGACAACTAATTTCTGTAACTTGTTCTTAATGGAAGGTACCAAATTAGTAGACTGAAGGGTTGATTCGTCAGGCGCTTCCTTGTTTATTTCACTGTTAGAACAAGTGGCCATTATAATTTTTCAGTAAGTCCAATTAGTATACAATCTATCAATATCTCTGATTTAACTAATTGGTATTTTGTTTCTTTTGAGTTGGACATGAAGTTGTAATCCTGTCTTTCTTCATGTTTCAAGTTATATGCCATTGTCCATTATAGTGACAAAGCAATCAGTCCAAGAAATTTAACGTCATGATATGGTTTCATCAGGAAAACATCACCGAAACTAGAAAAAAAATAATACATTAGATAATTGTCAAGTGTGAATGCTTTAGCAACACTGTCAAAAAGAGTAACTCTCAAGTTTTAAAAATGTTTGTATAAAGAGAAAAGTTTCCCCAGTGAACTCTCATTCTATATTTATGCATGCTTTGATTCGGTATACAAACATGTGATTGATTGTGAAGATGACAGGACCAGAGGAGGAAGGTTACGTGTCTTAATATGTTGAGGGTGCAACTATTAGGGCAAGCCCAAATGTTTATTCAGTTGCCACTAGTCTGTGGCCTAGTGCAGGAAATATTTTTGATTGCGCACCCCTGTATCGTTGAGATTTCATCTTTTATGAACATGATAAAATGACCAAAGTACATACAAGAGGTGGTTTTTAAATTATTTTTTTCAAATCATTTAATAGTGATGAAACGATTGTTGTCGACGATCAATTGTTGATCGTTTTTGGTTGTTCGATTCTGATTATCGATTACCTTTTTCATAATCGATTGTCGCCCACATTAACCTCTATGATATGAACGAAACAAATACGTACGCATTAACAATATATGTAAAACGAAAAAAAGGTCAACAAAAATGGCGTCCAAAGACAGTTTACAACAATCAAGTAGAAATTTACCCATATCCAAGGAATGCATAGATAGAATGTACTATCATTAAAACGATATTGACCTACAGATCCCGTTTAATGATAGAATTCTCTCCGTGTATTCAAAATGTAGCAAAAGAAACACAGGCAATAACTTGTACTCAATATAACTCAGTGCATTTACTACGGAGAATCTAGAGATTTCCGAATGTAAACATGGCAAGTAAATTTGAAGCCAGAGAAAAACGTTGAGAACATTAATTGGATTTTCGTCTTAATGTGGATAATTTTTTGGGATAAAAGGCATTTATTAAGCAATTATTTCCAGTGCAAATCCTTTTATATTCTTCAAAATTGTTTCAGAGCGGATCCGCTCCAAGTTGGTACATTGCAAGTATATAGGACGTATTCTAACTGTGGTGAGGGCTTGTACTGAGACACAAATCTTTAGGCGATTATTCTACCTAAGGAATGCAAAATCTGATGTCATGACAAACATTTTTAGTTTTTATGAGCAAATGTGTAATTGTTTTCAGTTTCTTTGTTACATATACAACAAAAAGTTGTCTTTAGTCTAGAATAAATTTCAAATTGATAAAAAGGTTCAACTAGGGTATACAGATAGGTAGTTCCATAAAAAACTGTTAACATCTTTAGAATTTAAAATTTGATAGTTCCTTTTATAGTAGATAGTGGGAATATTTTGCCTTATTACTTCAAATAAATCCTTTTAAAATAGTCATTAAGAACTTCCTTTCATGAAAAATGTTTTAGAATTCCACCTTACATCTACATTGACATCAAAAGGGTCGATAGTTGACACTTCTTGCAATGACAGATTATTTATTCTCTGCTTCACTGAAAAAGTCTAACAAGCAAAAACCAGAAGTCTCCATCGAGACTGAAGCTCTACTGGTTTGTACTTAAAGCAAAGGAAGAGGAAAGTACTTAAGCAGTTGGGAATTGAAACTTTTTATTATCCAAGGTAATAATGTTCATTGAAGTCAAAAAGGGATATAAAGAATTATATATCTTAGTGTAGTCTACTTGTGTGCCAAGTTATATTGAAATCAGACCAAAACTGTAGGAGGAGTAGCATTTTGAGAGAATTTCACAGAAATTTCTATTTTTAGTAACAACGCCAACACCGTTCGTCGAAATCAAAAACTGATATAAAGAATTATATATCTTAGTGTAGTCTACTTGTGTGCCAAGTTATATTGAAATCAGACCAAAACTGTCGGAGGGGTAGTATTTTAGAAGAATTTCACAGAAATATCTATTTTTAGTAACAACGCCAACACCGTTCGTCGAAATCAAAAACCGATATACAGAATTATGTATCTTAGTGTAGTCTACTTGTGTGCCAAGTTATATTGAAATCAGACCAAAACTGTAGGAGGAGTAGCATTTTGAAAGAATTTCACAGAAATTTCTATTTTTAGTAACAACACCAACACCGTTCGTCCAAATCAAAAACCGATATACAGAATTATGCATCTTAGTGTAGTCTACTTGTGTGCCAAGTTATATTGAAATCAGACCAAAACTGTAGGAGGAGTAGCATTTTGAAAAATTGTTTACAGACAGACAGACGGACGGACGCCGGACGCATTACTATCGCATAAGCTCTTCTGGTCTCTGACCAGTAGAGCTAAAAAAAGGGGGGAGGGAGGGGGGGGGGACATGTACCGTCGACAACCCAAGATTATTGCAGAGGTGGTGGGGGCATATTATTTTTTTTCCTTCCAGTTAAGGAAAGATTATTTATTTCCAAACTGATTCAACTCCTTTATCAGGCAGACACCCCCTTCAGAATCAAATGTCGTCCCCTTATAGATAGGAACTAAAAGCATGTCTTGACAATGTCGTATGGGTTTTGTATATTATTGCTGATTTAATAAAATTATTACATTACAAATTGAATTAAAGGTCCTTGTTGTTATTTATCATTTACCCAGATTTGCAGTCGCAATGTGCTTCTGTCTTCGTCGACATGGATGTTTACAGTTTGAGGGAACTCGGACTTGATCATGCTTCGATAAACTTTCCGAGAAAGGGATAATACGGAATCATTTTTTAATATTTCAAGTGAATGAAATTTATGAAAGCTTTTGTAAAAGCATTTGCCCTTCGTTTTGTCTCAAAGTGGGTTCGTAAGGCAAATATTTTGCAGCAAAATCATCAGGAACTTCGGACAAGTCGACCGGCGTCGACTTATTCTGAGTTACACGCTATGTTGATGATGTCGGAGCATAATATGAGTTATCTCCCATAGCGCGATGGGCGGAGTTTGGCAATACGTTAATTGATAGGAGGCGACTGTAACTTACAAGTATAAAATTTTAAAAACCAGTTTCACAATCGAAAAGTTATCCGGGCTTGTGGGAAAGGGGTGCTCTAATAATAATCTTATTATATAAGTTTTTTTTTTTTTTTTTTTTTTTTACCAATTATCATGATTTATAAAGAAAACAAATATTCCCCCAACTGTTTTCCAGACATAACCTTTATACTTTTGAAATGATCATTGAAACCTCCAACACTTTCTGTCTGTTAAATTAATAGTAGTCAGTAAGATTGTAAGATTGATTGATTGATTGTATACTGTTTAACGTCCCTCTCCTGAAAATTTCACTGATATGGAGACGTGAACCATTGCCGGTGAAGGGCTGCAAATTTAGGCCTATGCTCGGCACTTACAGCCTTTGAGCAGGGAGGAATCTTTATGGTCACCTGCTGTGACACGGGGCCTCGGTTTATATGGTCTCATCCGAAGGACCGCCCCATTTAGTCGTCTTTTACGACAAGCAATTGAGGACCTATTCTAACACGTATCCCCAGAATACTGAAAGAAATTGGAGCTATGTCATTACTTTGCCAGCGCTTTTCGTTAGAGACTTAAAATGACAAATTAAACTTGTATTGATCATGGAGGGATTAAATATGTATATAATCCCAGCAGGCATTTCAACGTTGATTCAACGTTGAATCAACGTTGCACTTCAACGTTGAATCAACGTTGAATTTTGGTTGCATATGAAAGTTGAGTCAACGTTGAGACATAACGTTGTTTCAACGTCAATTTTCAACGTTGAATAAACGTTGAAAATGGGTTGAATTTTTGGTTGATTTATGGTTGATTTTTGGTTGCAAATGAAAGTTGAGGCAACGTTGAAGCTTCAACGTTGTTCCAACGTCAAATATCAACATTGAACAAAAGTGAACATTGGTTGAAATAAGGTTGAGATTTGGTTGAAATTTTCGGTTGTACAAACGTTGATATTTGGTTGAAATCACATTGAATTCATTTTACATTTTGCTTCATAAACAAATACATTTCAAATTCTAATAAAAAAATTTATTCAAGTTGCGTAATATTTAGATAAGTTGTAATCCAGTATTATGATTTTGTGAGAGAATTTATTTTACATGTTTTTTTAAGACAAACACAAATTTGGATTTTATCACTGAATCTCAAAAATCACTGCTTTACAAAATTTATATTCCTAGTGAAAAGTGGGTCACAGTAATCACATCCAGGTCCTTCAAAGTACGCGTCTGCCTTACACTACTAAGTTCCACAAAGTGGCGGATCCATTGATTTTAATCACGCATATAGTTAAGTCCCACTAATGAAAGAAATGAACAGGAGAATCCATCCTCTAAAGCAAAAGCCTGTTGATAAAAGAAATAAAGATGTTTAAATCATTTGTTCGATAAAATGTACGTAACACGTTATTTCAAACGATAAAATAAATATACATGAATGATTTTAAAAAAATCAGACAAAGGAATATATTCCGGTACTTGGATTTAATTAACATAATTAAAAGAATTATAGTTGACTTCATGTTAAAATTCGTATGAGTATGCTTATAAATAATTATATATTACTAAAGAAAAATGTTATAGACATACATATACATAGTGTACTTACAAAATGTTGCATTCCTTTGTATAATTTTCACGGGCGAAGAATCTGATGCAATCAAGTCTGACCATACAATCAATTCCCTGCACCACTGGTTGATTTAACCTACAATTAGTTAAATTGTATAATATATTAGTATACTAGCTTATATTTCATAACCAAATGAATATCAACAAAACACATAATACAAGAACCATGCAAGGATGTGCATTTCACGCAGATTTCAAATATACTTGTAACACAAGAATTAAATGATGAACAGATACTAAAAAAAACTTAATTTCTTATAATTAAATTCATGAAAAGGAAATAATACTTACTGAGCAGAAGTTGATATTCCAGCCTTAATCTTTGTGTATAGCTAGCTTGAAAACACATTAAATATGAACAGCAAGGAAACGCGCACTTCTTGTCCATCAGTTGAATTCAAATTTTGACCTAGATAAGCTGCAAACTACGGTGGCTGGTATAGGACATGGTATGAGAATTTTTTTTTATTAATTCGTGGCCACGAAATAAAAATTCGTGGCCACGAAATAAAAATTCGTGGTCACGAAATAAAAATTCGTGGTCACGAAATAAAATTCGTGGGAACGAAATAAAATTCGTGGCCACGAAATAAAATTCGTGGCCACGAAATAAAAATTCGTGGCCACAAAATAAAATTCGTGGCCACAAAATAAAAATTCGTGGCCACGAAATAAAAGATAAAGAATCTAGTGTATTGACAGATCGGGTTTGTAATTAAGACACCAATGTGTTCATAGACGCGCGCGCGGATCTTCAGACAAAAAGTCGAGAAAATATGTTATTTACAATAGCTAAGCTTATGTCCAATGCATTTTTCAATGTATTTCAAACATTTATTGCTAGATTTTTCAAATAAATACATGTAGCGTGTAATTGTACGTCAAGGCTTTATTGTCAATCACTCAATGTTTATTTATTTAACAATCAGAGTAGGCCCCTATTATCGGGAACGTGACATCTTAAAAATGAAAACAATATTCAGATATTGTCATGATTGTTTTCACATAAAACTCAATTGTTATACCTTTAAAAATTGTTCCTATACAAATCTATACAGAAAAAAGTCTAACATTTTTAATGTTTTATTGAGCGGGCATAAAAAAATCGATGTTGGACCGCTGAGTGAGATGTTGGACCGCTCGGAGAGATGTTGGACCGCTTACGTCACAGAATGGGCGGAGCTTAATCTCATTTTCATTCTTTGGTTTTAAACAGTGACAGATCTAATGTTACATTACGGAGTATAGTACAAAATACATGTATGTCAAAAAATATATAATAAAATAAAAGGTATAACAATACATTTATTGACAGAGTTCTCGGGCAAAATGCGTTTTGTCGGACCCTCGAACCAAACTGTCTGCCTTCGGCCTAACGGCCTCACGCAGACAGTTTGGTTCTTGGGTCCGACAAAACGTATGTTGCCCTCGAACTCAGTCAATAAATGTATACTATTTAATGCAAATGAAAGTGTGTGCTCTTTGATAAAGGTACACGTAATTATTAAAGAAAAATGCGATGAACTAGTGAGATCAGTATTGATACTATTTATTCGTTAATTAGCTCTTCATGCAATTAATCGGCAAAAATTTCAATAATTAATGATAATTCAGGCATATTATTTAATACCCATAACAATTTTAAACAAAACTCCATTTGGCACAGTCCAATTGAATGATAATAAGTCCGTTCATCTTAAATGACATACAAGATAGGAACCTAGGAACGACAATAAATAGCACAACTTTATTTCGTGGCCACGAATTTTATTTCGTTCCCACGAATTTTATTTCGTAGCAACGAATTTTTATTTCGTGGCCACGAATTTTTATTTCGTGGCCACGAATTTTATTTCGTTCCCACGAATTTTATTTTGTGGCCACGAATTTTTATTTCGTGGCCACGAATTTTATTTTGTTCCCACGAATTTTATTTCGTGGCCACGAATTTTTATTTCGTGGCCACGAATTTTTATTTCGTTCCCACGAATTTTATTTCGTGGCCACGAATTTTTATTTCTTTCCCACGAATTTTATTTCGTGGCCACGAATTTTATTTCGTTCCCACGAATTTTATTTTGTGGCCACGAATTTTTATTTCGTGGCCACGAATTAATAAAAAAATTCTCATACTATGTCCTATACCAGCCACCGTAGCAAACAGCTATACTCTGCCCAGCAAGAAAATTGCATAACAAGGTTATCCTGACACTGAAACTGACCATCTAAGCGAGAGGCACTCCTTATCTGATATCTCGATAGGTTTTTGGGGAGTGGATCTTAAGTAATGCAACTTGACCGGGGTTAATTGTCGGTGTGAAAATTCTTATGAGTTTATTTGATTTTTTTTTATATTTCATGAAAAGAAAGATTATCGAATTAATACACACACCAAAAGCACAATTTAATAAAATAAGACTTCTTAGATTCGCTCTGTATACGTATAATCTGCGCAAGAGTATACGACACGGATCCATATGAGTCTAATTTGAAGAACATTCATTCGGAATTATTAATATTCTTATTAATTCTAAAGTAACATGGAATTACAGTGAGATGTTGGATAAAGATGTTCTTATTTATAAAAAGTTCATATTTAACATATTTTATAAATATGCCCCCCCCCCCCCAAAAAAAAAAATTGCATTCACAATTTATTTAAAAAAAACTTTTTTGAAACATAATTATAATGAAGTGTTAAATGTAGATGCCATGCTTCATATAAATTCATATTTATAATTTTTATAATGGTACTAGCTATTGGCACAACTCTTTTGAGTGAATCAATTTAAAATGCATGCGTTTCATTGATTAAGTACTATAATTATTATCTATATAATATTTTCTAGCAATGCAAACAACTCTATGTATATTGCGAAAAATCGCATGGATTAGAAGTTAAAGACACCTTTATATTTTGAACTTAAACTAAAGTGCTCAATACTCGTTACCCGTTGTTTCGACGTTAAACTTTCCTAACTTTCCTAAAGTTGAAAATATGTTGCATCTTCCACGTTGTTTCAACGTTGAAATTAATCAATAGACAGTCAACTTTCATTGCATTTTTAAACCTTGTTTTAATTCTACATAATCAGAAAATACTCAACGTTGAAAACATGTTGAATCTTCAACGTTGTTTCAACGTTGAATATCGACGAGCATTCAACGTTGAAAATATGTTGCAGCTTCAACGTTGTTTCTACGTTGAAATATCAACGAACATCAAACGTTGAGAATATGTTGCAGCTTCAACGTTGTTTCAACGTTGAAATATCTACGAACATTCAACGTTGAAAATATGTTGCAGCCTCAACGTTGTTTCAACGTTGAAATATCGACGAACATTCAACGTTGAAAATATGTTGCAGCTTCAACGTTGTTTCAACGTTGAAAAAAGGTCGAGGATTCAACGTTGAAACCTCAACGTTGAAACAACGTTGAAATATAGTTGATCAACGTTGCAACCTATATTCCACCTCCTTTCAACGTTGAAACAACGTTGCGTGCCTGCTGGGAATATATCGTTTCTGAGAAATTTATATATTTCAATGATTTAATCTCAAATAATATTTTCCGTTTTCCGTTCCGTTTTCCGTTCCGCGTTTTAGCAACACCCCATCTTATCTGCTCTGTTTTCTACTCCCCATATTTGGCATTTCATGTACATATAAATAGAAACAGTGTGGATAAGATGCCTCTGTGGCATATTGTGTTAAAGTTAGAGAATTTTAAAGAGTAAATTAATAGATATCTATAAATTAAACATAATATATATACAGTGTTCAATGCTGTTGACATTCCTAGAGCAACAGGTCAACACGTCAACAGCTGAACAGACCGCGAGACGGCGCGAGTACTGATAAGAATGAAGATGATAAAACACATTAAATATTAATTGTTTAGTGTAGATTACAACAGGGTGGAAACCATAAAAACGTTTTATCTTTGTAAGTACACACCTTATCATAAATACTCTAAAACATGTAAAATGCCATCGTAGAGGTCTTGCAAAGCAAAATCGTCCAGTCAACCATTGTCTCATAATACAGCACGGTATCTCGAACCCGATGATAAACAACAGGCCCATGGGTCACACTACTCACCTGAGTCACCGTTAAAACTCTGCCATAATATAATAATTATTGAATCAACACTACAACCGAGAATTATTGCATAGTTAATATTTTAATTCATGAAATTTTATGCAAAGTTAATAAATACTTGTAACACTGTAACCTTTCCTCCAGATATTTAAAATCAATGGCGTCGGAAGCAAATTGAAAGGGGGGGGGCTTTATGAAAAAAAAAAAAATCTACCGAACAACCTGACGAGCATAGAAAAGGAAAATATGTACGTTGTCCAATTAAGAAAATCCCATGTCGTGGGCGGGGTGGGTTAGTTTAGCTTCTTAGGACTTCTTTCAGTACTAAATTTTATTCCTACACCCCCCCCCCCCCCACGGGCTTAAGACCCTTATGAAAATACATTTGTAATAAATACTTTTAAATTCAAGTCTAAAAAGATATATATGATAAACTGACAACCTAATTTTATATTAATTCCTACGTCGATACGATATACCCTGGTGAGCAAGAGATAGAAGATACCACAGAGTCTGTCACTAATACCCCATTCATACGACGAAAATTTACTTATGTGAGCAAATTTACATATAAGTAAATCTATACACGTAAGTAAAAGTTAATTTGCAATGCGTTCAGACGAGACTGATGTACTGTAAGTAAATCCTCATATTTTCACATAAAATAAGTAGATGGACAGATTAAAAATTGTGAATTTTTAAAGAAAAGCTGTATTTTCTTACTGTTTGGGTAAAAACCTAACTTTTGAATGTTCCCTAAAGACTAGGGTGGAAATCCGATCCACTAATTAATACACTTGTATATTGGGACGAAAGAAAAGGAACTGAATGTTTTAATGACAAAGAATGGCATAAGAATTTACACACGAAGAAAGAAATATTAAAATTTTTCTTTACTGTAAGAGCCGTAGGATGTAAAGAAAAAGATGACTGTAGCCATCTACTGATTGACGTCTTCAGCAGAAATAAGACGATTGGAATCTTTTTTTGGTGTTGGGAAATCTACAGTACATCAAATATGTGAGGCCATTATAAAATACCCTCTTGAATATGATACAGGAAGGATATGTAGAGAGAATAATATTCAATATCAAAGTCCATAAAACTGTATCAAATAGGAGCAGAGCAAACACGGACATCCAGAACATCAGAGATGGGATCAGGTGCCATGGAGGATTGAGCATCCCCTGCCGACCAGTCTCACCCGCCGTGTGTTCATTGTCATGATCGGAAAATAACGGAAAAATCCGTCGTCAATTCAGTGAACATGTGTACACAATTGACTATCAATTAGTGTGAAAAACGTCAGTCATGTAATTATGTATTTTCAAGGGGAATGAAAAGGATAACGAAAACTAATACTTATCGATCTCAAAAAATCTTTGAACAATACAATGATGTGAAAAGGAAATGAACACGAACACCTGGGCAATAAGGGGTTATGTGCCAAAGAGGATACTAATAAATGCTTACTTTCAACAAGTTTTATTGAAATTCCTGTAACATTAACTTATATATGAGTAGCTTGCCTCGATTAAAAACAGAGAAGGGTAGAAGAAAGTCATCAAGAGCTAAACGGTAATTTGGCCCGAGCAACTAATGGAATGCATGTTCCTATCAGAGCTTCGGGACATTCCAAAAGAGACAACTTGTACAGTAAGGGCACTACTTATTGGTCCTACAGGACACTTATTAGCGACGAAAACTATTATTATCTTTTAAGATATCAGCAAAAAGTTCGCCAGAAAGGGTGCAAGATGCCCTCGTTTTTGCAAATTCGAAAATTTATCTCAGAGGAGATAATGGCTCATTGTTTAGGGTCTTGCCTTTTAGCCACCATGTTTACCAACTTATATTTTACGTACCAATGCATACACGACCGAAACAATACTTAAAATAGAGATATAATCAATAAACAAAACAAAATACATACATAAGTAAATTTGCTGCGTGTTCATACGACAAAATTTACACACATGAACTAATAATTTGCTACAAAAGGTATGCAAAAGTTAATTTGCACCTAGTCGAGACCAGGTGTAAATTTACTCCACTGTGCAGAATTTGCATATGTTTAAATCCGTTCATACGACAAAAATTGCACACGTGAATAAATTTACTTATGTGTAGAATATACTGAGGTATGTAAATCATGTCGTATGAATGGGGTATAAGACTTCTGTTTCATACTTGGATATTTTAATTGAAAAAAACGCTAATGGTAATCTAACAACCAAGCTATATGATAAACGTGATGACTTTAACTTTTCTATCGTCAATTCCCCTCACTTATGTAACAATATACCTTCATCACCTGAATACGGAGTATATATATCTCACTTGATTCGATATGCAAGAGCATGCTCTACGTATGAACAATTTCTAAAATGAAGTACATTTAGACAAAAAAGTCGATGAAACAAGAATATCGGCAGTCTCGTTTGAGTCATCATTTCGTAAGTTCTATGGTCGATACGATTACCTTGTCAGCAGATACAATTTATCATTGAGTTAAATGCTGACTGATGTTAAATTCATAAAAAATTGCTCGTCCATTATTTATACAATGAATTGACGACGGATTTTCCCGTTAATTTCTTATCATGACAAGGAGCACACAGCGGGTGTGACCGGTCGTTAGGGGATGCTTACTCCTCCATGGCACCTGATCCCATGCACCTCTGACGTTTCGGAAGTCCGTGTTTGCTCTGCTCTTATTTTGTATTGTTTTATGGACTTTGAGATTTAATACTGTTCGTTACCTCCATATCCTTCATTAAACAAAGTAGTTAAGTGTTAAAGGGGCATTTCGGGAATTTCTTAGGACATTTTGATAAATAAGGGGCTTTTAATTATAATATATTTCAGAAAAAATTATATACACGTGAGCATGGTAAAATCTCAAGAACTTAACACTGACAAATCTGCGTTTTCGAGAGGGGAAATTGTCAAACTCTAATCCCTGTTGAGATTCTGCTAGGCTAGATATTTGGACTGACGCCGTCGCAGAATCCCTAGACGACTACTAATAATTCATGTCTGGAGATTAAGTCCCAACTTTGGTCGGTTATAGCAAGAATTATTCGTCTAGACCACACTGAAACCACACACTGAGACCAGAAACTCTATGGGAAAAAACTTCAAGTCCCCGATATCTTTAATCCTTGGATACCTCCCTTGGTATTTTAGAATTCAAAATATCGAGGATAAAAGACTTAAATTTAACAATAATTAGTTGGAACATCTTCCTTATATTCTTCAACATTAAGGGTTCCATGTTCGTTCGCCCTAAAAATTGTTCTCCCGATTTCCCGTTCGCCCAGAGTCCGCTCCTATGATTTTATAACCAGAGAGATCGAGCGCTTGCTGTGATCGGAAGGCCGTGAGTTCGAACGGTAACGGGTTCGTTCGCCCGTACTTCCTGTTCGCGGGAGTCCGTTCGCCCTAAATATTTTTCGCCCTTTATGTGGTTCGCCCAATACTTATATATTCTTGTATATTTAAACTCAATGAATTAAACAATAACATAATTATTTTTTCTATTTATTTCCTTTGTGAACTTGGGATAATTTTTTCTCAAGTTCTGATACGAGGAACAATGTCATAATGTTTATTTAGTTGAATTAATTTTTGATTTTATACAAATGTTTTTGAATGACTTCGTGTTTGAACTTTACTATAGTTACATTGTAATTAGTTGATTAATATGATTAATATCAAAGTTAATAATTAGAGGGATACATCCCTGTTATTTTTACGAATTGCGCTATGTTTGGACTGGGATGTTAATATGTCCATTAAAGAACTGAACAGCGGATGTTGAAGGTTTTACCTTTAAAGAATCTGCTTTTGATCTAATAAAAAAATGATTAAACAAAATGTTAAAAGGAATTAAACAAAAATGATTAATGTACTTAAAGTCAGATCTTTGATAGGTCATGTATTTATTGTGATATAACGTCTGACAGTCTGTTTTATTTTGAATGTATCAAAAAATTTCGAAAGAAATTCATTAGATTTCATTCCGCATTAAACAAGGGCGAACAAGTTTAAGGGCCAGCGGACTTTGGGCGAACGACAAATCGGGTTTACAATTTTAGGGCGAATGAACATGGAACCGGTTCGAACCAGTAAATATAACATTACCAGTAACAAATGTTTTATTTCAAATTAATTAACACATTTTTTTAATTCATCGAAAAAAAAAAATGTGAAGATTATTTTGAAAATAAGGACACTATAATTAAACTATTTTTTTTTTGAAATATTGAAAAAATTACATTAAAACAGCTTGACAAGTTTCAATTATTCATTTTTCTTATATCAAAGAAAAACAATAAATTGTACTTGTTATCCTTGTTTGATTTAATTTATGAAAAACATAGACACTGATATTAAGTGCTTTTGTGTATTTTCAACATGTGCCTCTTCAAGGATTTTTTATGCATCACCATATTACACATTTCACAAGTTACTTTCATCTTTCCTGTATGGAGGGCAATGTGACGCCTATACGTTGATCTACAGGAGAATGATTTTCCGCAAGTGTCACATATCATTCGTCCCTCAGGATGCTCTTACGTTCATGCTTGTTTAATTTGTGCTTTTCGTAGGGTGACTTTTTACAAAAGCCTTTGCCACAAAATTCGCAAACATAGGGAATGTCTGCAATGTCGGATCTTTCTTTCATGCTGAAATCCTCATGGATCCTGTGTCTTATCTGATGAAGTCGCAATGACGACCCCCACTTGATAAATATCCCACAGATCTCGCACAGTCTTTTTCTGGAGGAATTGTGGATATCCATGTGTCGACTTCTGGCCAACTGACTATAAAATCTCCTCCCACAAGTTTCACAGGGGAATGGCCTTTCACTACTGTGTAGTCTCATATGATCTTCCAACTTCCACTTTCTCTTCAAAATCTTTCCACAAAC